ATGGCAATAGAAAACATAGGCGTTTTAATGCAAATCTCAATCTAATGAACAATTTTAGGAGAGAAACCATATCTCTTAAGGATTTCGATAATGAAGTCCCAATTCACCGAGTCGTAAGCTTTCATCAAATCAACTTTCATGGCACATTTCTTACTCTTTGTTAATTTCCTCCCATAGTTGCGTACCAACTCTTAGCAAAGAAGGATGTTATCTCAAATCTTCCTATCTTTAACAAAAGTGGCTTGTGCTCGATCAATAAAACCCGGGAGGGCATCCTTGATTCCATTTGTAATGATCTTTGAGATATATTTATAAATCGTGTTGCAACAAGAGATTAGTCTAAAGTTATGACAAGTGGATGGGTTCTCACATTTCAGCACGAGGGCTATAATTGTACAATTAATTTCCTTTAGGATCGCTTTGGATCTAAAGAAACCTTGGATAGCCTTTATAACATCCTCTCCCATTATGCTCCAAGCTCGTTTAAAAAAATAGGCACCATTTCCATCGGGGCCCGGTGCTTTATCATTACCAAGCTCAAAAATAATTCATTTAATCTCTTCCCTAGTCACCTTAGCTTCCATGAATATCTTCTCTTCATCCCTTATGCAAGGAGTTATAAGCTCGTCAAGGCCTTCAAAATTTCTCTTAGGCTTCGTTTCCCGAAAAAGATTTTGGTAGAATGTCACAAACTCCTCCTTGATTCTAGCATTGTCTCTAGTCACATCACTATTCTTAAGAACCAAAGAGGAAATCTTATTCCTATTTCTTTTTCCATTGATGGTTTTGAAGAAAAAAGTCGTGTTTTGGTCTCCTTCCCTAAGCCGATTAACCCTTGCATTTTGTTTAGCAAGACTTTTTTCCGCTAAACTCAACTTTTTGAATCTAACTGCTTTACCATTCTCTTCCTCAATAAGGTTACTATTGAAAGGATCGATATCCAATTTGTTTTGAACTTCTAAGAGCAAATCCCTAGCCTCTTTAACTCTTTCTGAGATACACCAATATTCCTTACGATTAAGCATCTTAAGTTCTCCTTTAAGCTTCCTAAGTTTAGTCACTAACCGAGACATGGGATTGCCATCCACATTTTCTCTCCAAATTAACTCTACAATTTCCAAGAACCTAGAGTCATGAGCCCAAAAGTTGAAGAACTTAAAACGGGATCTCCTAATCTCTCTTGGAGAACCACAATCAATCATTGCCGGACTATGGTCGGACACACTCGGGGGGTGGAAAAAAGCTCCCAAATTAGGAAAAGAAAATGATCATTGATCATTGACAAGAACTCTATCAAGCTTGCACACAATTCTTCTGCTTTCCTCACTCCGATTACTCAATGTAAAGAAACACCTCATATTCCTCAAGTCATCAAGATTAGCATCGAATCACATCGTATCCATATCCAAGCACTCCAACCTCTATTTGTTATCTCCACAACTCTTCTCACTAGGCTTCCTGATGGCATTAAAGTCACCTAGTACAACCCATGAGCATTGGCAAAGTCTACCCCCCAAAGGACTAACTCCTCCCAAAGACTCAACCTTTCTATGAAAGTATGTAACCCATACACCATGGAGCACACAAACTTAGAATCTTCCCTCACCCTTTGGACTACACAATGAATGGCTTGACAGGAGACCCCAATTGCAAAATATCCACCATATTTGGATCCATCCAACCCATATTTGGCCACCATCCCAACTACAATAGTTGCCAACAACCCTCCAGTCACCAAACACTTTCTTAATCACAACCTCACGATCACTTTCTTTAACTCTAGTCTCCAGAACACCAAACAAATAAATATTATTATAAATGATAAAATTATGTACCTCTTTATGCTTTATAGGAGAATTTAGACCCCTAATATTCCAAACTCCAAAATTTATCATTGAGGGGAGGAAGATTTACCAAGTGCTCTAGCCCTTTTGGCTAATTTCTTCCTAAAGCCTTTGCTCATACTTGAAACTTTATCCGCCACCTCCTTCTCATCAGCCCTTTTAAGCATCCAAAAATTAACCAAGTCTGATGAGACGAATCTCATCTCCACTTCCTCTAACCGAGGAGTAACGCTATTCCCCCTACTACCCATCAAATCTCTCCTTCAAATGTTCAACCTCACCAACCTCCAAACCACTACCTTTTTTCATTTGGAACCCGTAAATCAATAATGTCCTCCCCAACCCTCCTAGTCTCTTCTACCCTTACGTCCTCACTCACCATACCCCCTTGAATCCCTCTATCTTCCATATTGGCTCTTCCATTTATATCCTCGGATGACCCACCAATCCCCACCTCAACCTTATAAGGGCCACTACCAGTTTCCCCACCTTTAAAACCCAAGGCTAAACTATCATTAAGCATATCAAATTAGTTTTTTTTGACAAGATTAGAACCCATCACATTCTCTTTTCCCTCTAATCCATCTCTTGGAAACCACTCATTTTTCTTATTAATCACTTTCCACTCTAAGTTTTGGGGCAGTTTTTTGATGTTTTGTAAGCGGTTACTAGCCCTTGGGGCATTCGGGCAATTCTTGGATTGATGACCAAAAACTTTGCACCATGAACATGTCAAAGGCTTCCAAGCATACTCCACATGTAAATCCATCATATCCCCATTAGTAAGCACGAGTTTAAAAACCTTTGGAAAGTCCGATGAAGAATCAATCTCCACACATACTTTTGCAAACTCAAGTCTATCACTCGCATCCGTGATGTTATCCAAGTAAAGGGGCTTCCCTATGGCGCTAGCGATGTAACTCAAACCTTTGGGAGTCCAATACTCAAGAGAAATATCGAGAATCTTAACCCACACCGGCACTTTCTTCACTCCCTCTTTAGCTAAATTAAGATTTGTGCTCTATTTCTTTATAAACAAAGGTTGGTTGGCCACGTGCCAAGGTCCTCCCTCCAACACTTGGTCTCTACTCACATCATCATCAAATCGAAAGATATAACCTCCTACCCCATGTGAAATGACTCCCACATTTCCATATTTTTCCCACATCCTAGTCACATAGTTCTTGACCATCGAAAAGGGTAATTTCTTCTCAAGAAATAAACAAATTAAGAAATTCTTCCATTCAAACCCCAATTCCGCAACTTCTTTAGGAGGGGAAACTCTCACCTTCCTCCTTTCACCCACATACTCCGGCTCAAAAAACTTCAACTTCGAATCGGGCCGTTTAGAAACAAAGAGTTTGTTCCATGCAATTTGAGAACCCCCTCCAAGAGATTTCTTGATAACCTCCTCCTTAGAATACACGGGATCCCCTTTTCCTACATTCTCCTTAGAGTCATTTCCTATCAAAGGCCGAAAATCCCCATTGGCCATTCTTTCTTTTATTCCCATTCCATCATATAAAGGAGAGTTCCTAGTGAAATCAAGGCCAACCTCCCCAATAATGGCATCTCTAGCCACCCAAACGACTTCCCCCTCCTCACACAATGTGTTATCATGATACAAAATGGCTCCATTAGGATTCTTGACAAGCTTAACCTTGACAAAATTCTTCTTTTTCTCTCATTCATCCTTAGAAAGAACATTGTTAACACATTCCTTAAACACTTTAGGGCAAGAGACAAGGGGAGTGAAAGAATTGGAATCGGTTTGAATTTGGGTGTTGGAGGCGGTGATGTGGCATGATGATGTGTCGAGGGAGGTGACGTGACAAGGTGATATGGCAATAGGGGTGACATGGCAAGAAGGCATGTCGCAAGGTGATGTGGCGGGTAAGCAAACTTGGGGAGGTGATGTGGCAATAATAGATTGAGAAGGTGAGTTGGCTAAAAGATTAGATTGCATTATGGAAAAGAACCAATAGGATTATGACACATGTCAGATAAGGATAAGGAGTGGAGTTGGGAAAGACACCTCCGACCAACTCACGACCAAACCAAGGGACACCACCACGTCGACAATCCAACTCCGGCTGCCAAACACCGGAAACCACGGTCAAACTTGAACACTACCCTTCTTCCATCATCACCAAAGCACAAACAACCACACAACAACTCAAGGGAAAAAGGGAAGGTACCACGAATGAAGAAAAAATGTGGTAGGGGAGGGGAAAGGAAATAGAAGGTAACCTGTTTGTTACTTGTTTCTTCCCGAAGTGTTGTTACTTCTAAGATTTTATGAATACCAAGAGACGGCAATCAGTAAGAATTACAAACACAAGAAATGTTTTTCAGTACATGTCGTTTTCCTTTCTGTTTTTTTATGCAACATTAGTCCCAACTTTCAAATCTGGCTTTTTCACGGCCATAGAAATGTCATCTGGTCAATTCTGGCATTGGAAAAGGCCTTATCGGCGCACGACTGGCTAGATCCTATCAGTCGTGCACCATTACAGCCACTAACGTGGGCAGCTAGCGGTGGTGAGTCACGATCAGTGGTGGTCTTGAGTGGTTGGGGGTATTTTGTTAACTTTTAAATTTTTTTTGTGACTGACGTGTTTTAGCTAATTTCTCAAATGTAAGGGGGGCTGGGTAATTGTTATTTTTTAGGGCAATTGTCTCTGAAATGGTTTTTAATTAAGGAAAAAATGGGTAGAAAAATCATATTATTCCGACAATGTTTTAATAATACCCCCTAATAAGGTAATAAGATTATCTCAAATATTACCAACAGTAAACATTATTTACAATAAAAGATTATAATAATATTTTATTACTTGCAAACCAAACACCAAAATCTTACAAAATAAATAAAGATTACCCTCGTTATCTTATATACCCCCATCCAAATGGTCCTTAAGGTGAAATCCTCTTTGTGGCATATCAAAAGTTGAAATTTTGATATATATAATTTGTCATTGTACTAGTATTAAATCTTTTTATTTAATAATTGTTTGCGGCCAAGTGTTTTTGCTGAAAAGGAATTTGCTATATCATATTTGAAATGGTTTGAACCTTTTATCATGATTCACTCACAATTGCGACGGTGAATTGATTAGAGCATACCAGAGGGTGAGAGTGAGACACACAAATAGCTGAGCTCTGGAAAAAGAATTCACTTTGTTTAATAAGTAACTTTAAATTTGACTGATGCTATTTGCTTACCCAATAGCATATTACATACATAATTAATCCAAAATGAGTTCATATCTTATTTTCTCACTGGATAAAGCCATTTTTTGAGACTTGATATCCATTGTTTACTACTTTTCCAAGTCAATTACCAGCATCAACTCTGTAAGTCCGGTTATGAAGATTCCATCCCACCTTTTAATGCGGATCTCCTTTATTACTCTCGTTAATAGACAAGGCTCTGCATTATACTCAAACTCTAACCATTTCCTCCTATGAAGCACCAGTCAAAGCAGCTCTCTGAAACAGACGACAAAATTCATAAGTATATTGCAATGTCTGTACATGTTGGGATTCAGAACATGGTAAGCACTCTTATTTACAAGCTACAAATATTGATGAAGCTTGTAATTTTTAAGATTAAAAAATACGGGTTATGTGGGTTTGTATTAGCAGAGGCTGGCCTTAGGGTGATCATAAAACAAATCAATATATCACACTTGACTATCCGCCAATAGATCCAGCAATGGCATAAGAAATGCTCACTGATGATAACCATATGCAGCACAACAATTCCAAAAGGGTATACAACCCATGGCTCAACTCACTTGACTAAAAGATATGAGTGAAAAAAAGATGTTAGAAATGAAAGAGTTACGGCTTATCAAATCTTACTCGTTTTTGCTCTTCCATGTTTGCTTTTATGAGGGAGTAGATGGCAACACCTGCAATTGCTATAGCGGTACCAATCCCAGTTTGTGTGGAGATCTTATTGCCTGCAGAATTTTGCAACAGTTAGAATATAAAGACAATATTAAGGTAGTTAAAAGTGCAATAAACTTGATCCCTCACCAGCATGAACAGCACGTTCCAGATTTTTTGGAGCCACTTCATATACAGACAGTTTCACAGGACAAATGCATAGATGAATATCTTTGATTTTTATAATTCTTTGAAGTTGTTGCTTATTGGCATTTACTTTTTACTCAACAAATTTAGGTTGCAATTTAACATGGCATCTACATAGGCGATACAAACAAGGAATCCTTGGTCAATGGCCAATAGTTAGTTACTTAAGGCATACATAGAAATCCATTCAGTAATTCTTTCCATGGCCTTTTTCAGACCTACCAACATGTAGGACTCAACGTGTAATATAAACCCTACAAACTCTCACCTACAAAAACTTCCATTACAGCAGAAACTTGGTTGTTTACATCTGTCTATAAATCATATAAGAGGAGGCAGTAGAATAATTACCAAATACCACAATAGAGAAACCAATAACGAAGACTCTCTTGAGAACATTTCCAACCGCATGTGTGAGTGGTGCAACCCTTTCCAATGTGTTAGTCGCAAGCTGCAACAATAAGCTCAAGAGTTAATGCAAAAAGTGAGGCAGCATAAGAAACAGACAATTATTCTGCACATAAAAAGATGGTGGCACATGTTTATTAACATAGTCATCAATTTAGGGCAGTGACTTCGTATCGTATATTGCCATACGATGCTCATCAGGGTCCAAGTTTCATATTTTGTTAACCTATGTTAGCTGAAATATCTGTCTCAAATTGAAAGAACCATCCACAATTTAGTAACTGCTACACCCCTCACAGAATTTCACAGCATTGAAGTTTATATCTTTCGAAGTGTGTCATTACAAATATAGACATATTGAACGATATATGAATTTCCAGTATGGCATGGCATGCTGTAACAGAGAAATAAGAGAGTGAACATCAAGTAAAACCAAATGCCACAGGTTTATTTTCCTTGGATTCAATGAACAGGCAAATGGTTTTTCTATTAATATACCTGATTGTATAAATGATAAAACATTCCAATCCAGAACAGATCAGATAAGAATTTGGTTAGACCCACTTTAGCAATTGCATCCTTGAAACCATATTGCATCAGCTGGGGGCCTTCAATCTGAATTCACATTTAGACCAACTGAAGGTAAGATAAACATGGTTTAAACAAGACAAAAAGAATGTCCGAAATTGGTTTCCATGAAACTCACAAGCACTGCTGGCGGGATGCAGACTATGAGGGCAATTATTGAAATGTAAGCATACACATTTGTACTGTCCATACCTGTCTGTTAAAATTGAAAGATTTGTCAACAATATAAAGCATTAGGAAAAAAAAAAAAAAAAAAAAAGATGCTACCCAATATGCAGGAAGTATACAATAGAGATGCTGAATCTTAACAAGGACTAAAAGGTGACAAAAATTTGATTTCAAATCTATCTTAGAAATTCTCCTCCCAAAACCTTATCTGTTGGTCATTGCCTTTAAAATACATTGCATTTATGGTTTGTCTTGCAGGGTTGCTCAGACAACATAAGGTAATTGACTCATTCAATTAGTAGTTCATAAACATTTATTAAAGCTACTCCAAAGTATCATCAGACTCAGAGTCATACATCTCCAGAGGAAGATTTCCCAATCAGAAGAATTTTCAAGATACATTAGATTAAGAATATTAGAAATCAAGGATAACCAATGGTTAAAAGAAATTATAGAGGGAAGGGAAGTGAAGAGCCATATCATTCACCTATATATATATTAGGCTAAAATGCATTTTAACATGACCAGGGCATGAGCCTCATAGCCTGGCACAATTTATAGTACACAAGATACAAAATATAGATCAAGGATCCCACTTCCAAATCTTACCATTGCTTTCTTTGAATAGATACTTCTGTAAGTAAATGCAATGTTTGAAATCATTGCACTGATGAAACCAGTCCAGTTGAAAGAAAGTTCAGTCAGTGAAGCCATTGAAACACCTAAGGATAAGAGTAACAGGTACCATCACTAAGTATATAAATATATGAGAAGACTTTAGACAGTATATAGATCCAAGGGAACTAATAATTTACTTCGAAAGTCAAAGTTTTATGAAATTAGGCTGCTATTTTTCAACAAGGAGAGAAGATAGTAGATGGAAGAAGATTGTAGTCTGAGATTTACCAATAACAACAGGAGCCAATGATAACCACAAGGACAAGGGAATCTGGTGGCCCAAAACAAATTGAGAAGCAGCAGCACTGAAGAATGGCTCCAAAGCTGTGAAAGAGCATCGTGAGATTTTAAGGGAGAATAAAACCATCATTATTCAAACTTTATTAAGATATTGAGCACTGGCCACAGGAAAGGCAAGAGCTCAAAGTACAGCTTACTACAGATAAGACATGAAATAAAACAGCCAGTTCCAAAAAATAAAATATATTGAAAAGCTACTCAGTAGTTTTATCTAGCCACAATCAGCTTCTATAGTTCATTAGATAACCTTTTACCTAAACAGATTTCAAAGACTTTTCCATGGCATTGAAACTACAAATGATAAAATACCGACCAAAGATTGAAAATATATTCCTCCACAAGATAGATAAGAAGCAGAACATGTTTTCACTCAAAATACATGTGGATGGGCACCTCTAATACAATATACCACTAAACTACCAACAGGCCTTCATTTCAAAAATCCAGCCTGCATAACAACTGGACAGGTACTAAGCTAACAATGGGCATCAATGACTTGGACCACAATCTTGTAATGATCATGTTTTCTAAAAACAATATGGGTGCACACAGAAAGTGATGTCCATGTTTTGCATTATTTCAAATAAGATACTTTTTTTCTTTTCCATACTTGACTAGAAGATATGAAATTAACTTGAGTAAGATGCTTTTGCCCTATCTTAAACTTTTTATACCTTTAATGGTGTGAGTAAAAGATACAGCAACAGCGGCAAATGATACATTGGACATGACATGTCCAAGGGCATGACAGAATGCAACCGGCGTCAATAGTAACAAGAGCTCCTTATCAATTGGCTGGTTACAAAAGAAAACTATATTACAAGGGCAAGCCAGAATGCACCTAGAAGAGCAAAGACAGCAAGACAGGAACCGATACTTACAGCACGCTTGGGTAGACCAAAACCCCAAGAAATAAGACAGTATACAACTCCAACTAGAAGATGTATAACAGAAACAAAACTGCAGAAATGAGAAAGTTTGTACAGTTATGCAGGGATAAGATTTAGAAACGCCAAGGCTATGAGATCCATAGAGATGAAACGATGAAAAACTATCTTATCCACTTTTTGCAAAGGATGTAACATGAAAATTGAAATCCACAAATGTGACAAAACAAGTAAGTTATCTATGAGGATGACATACTATGGATATGGGAAGTAATTGTAGACCTTCTTGTTGAGTATATTGAAGATGACATTTAAGAAGTACCTGTAGAAAACAGAACGTCAGCAACATCTAGAGTTTAGCAATTATATAAATAGCAAATATAAAACAACACAGTTTTGCCATTTAAACTGAAATGGAAACACAATCAAAGGACAACTACTTTCATTTACACAATTATTAAAAATGATTTGGAAGTATTTTTATGGCCTTCAAAAGCAAAAATTTTCTGTAAAATAAATAAAATTGTCTGTAAGAAAAGCAGTTATACCGGCACCCGTACATTCATTATTCTCAACTGTATGGCCAATGTGATTCGTCCATCAATCAAAGAATTTTTAGACAACTACTATCGAAATTTCGAATTAAAGAATATGATTCTAAAAGCATACAGAATTAGTAATTTAATAGCTTACCACATAAAGAAAAAGAAGCCAGTAACCAATGCAGGAAATCTCTCACCAAAGCTCTTTAAAGGCTTCGCATACCTGCAGTCACAAAATCAGTAAATCTAAAACAAAATTTCTCTATCTGCTTTGCTATAAAAAAAATACAACTTATTTCTCTCTTAAATTGATCCTATCGATAATTAAACTGTAGAAAACAATAATAAATGATAAAAGCCAAAACTTTGTTTCACTATCAAATATAGCCTTTGCTATCTCAGCAACCAAATAGAAAAAATAAATAAATAATCAAAACATAAAAAACAAAAACCAAGTAACAAGTCTAACCCATCAGAAATCTCAATCTCACGACCATCTGCATCCGCTGCAGCAGCTGAAACAACCGGAAAGTCAACGGTATTTCGCCGCCTTATTTGTTGACTCCAGCCTGTAAATCTCAACAACTCGCTGGAAAAATTAACCCTCAAAGGAGATTCTTTTTTCTCAGTTAACGGGGAGAACTCCAAGTGCGTGGCTTTCGAAGCAAGTGACCCAGTTTTAAGTTGAACATAACTTGATGATGAAACCTTGCTCTTTGATAAGTAGAGTGAAGAGATACCAGGAGTTTTGATCGAAGAGTAAAGTGGGATAGTAACTGAAGCCATCAAAAATCAGAAAAAAAAAAAAACGAAAAGAGGTTCTAGTTAAGTTTTTAGTGATGGGAGGTTTTGTTAAAGGATTTAAAACCAAATCGTGACGGTGAAATCGAGAGTTGGAGCTAACACAAAGCGGAAATAACAGAGAGAGAGTGTGTGTGTGTGTATGTGAGTGTTTAGGACAAGTCAGAGTTGAAAGCTAATAAAATGAACAAGAAAAAACACCATGTTTAATCGAAAAAGAATCTTTGAGTGGTGAAGCAAGTTGTTGAATAATGGAGAAATGAAAACACTCAAACAGTAAGCGATGCGAGTGATGAAGGAAGAGAGAGAGAGAGAGGAGAAGTGAAGTGGGCGTTCGTTTAAGGAGCTTTGTCTTTTACCAGAACTTCCCTCTAAAATATGATGGTGTTTAAAAGTAGTTGGTATCTTTTTTATTCGGTAAGAAGATTAGTTTCAGATTCTGCTACCATAAATATAACATTATTATACAATATGAAGATCATCAATGCTTACTGTTCCATTGAATAAAGAAGTTGGCTGCATATCAAAGTTTGCAGATCCAGTATATTGATTCGCTAAAGCAATAAAATATTATTCACCACCTCCCTCATAGAAAAACTGAAAAAGATGTCATAAATGAGTAGAGCCTTTCCCCTTACACTTTGTGAAATCATGACACCACCTAACTCTTCTAATCTCCCATTAACTAACAGTCAAAAACAGTTTAATATGGTTATGGAAATTTTCATATTTCGTAAATTTCAATGAAAATGAAGTTTAAGATCTCATGTAAATAAATATCGATATTGAAGTTTTAGCTTATATTTGGAGCTAAGGGTAATGCATATAGAAACTTCAATATGTATGTTGAGAGACAGTGGAGTGAATGAATGGATCACCACTTTCAATGAACTTTAATTTTGTTGCTATTGAAAACAAACCCATGGAAAGTTTGTTACAGAGATACAGAAAAAAACAGCAAGCATGATGCATTGCATATGCTAAGAGTCACCGATTATTTGACATTATGGGTCCATTGTCACTGTCACCGTCTTTACCATTAATGTACGATGCAGGGAATATTTTATTTACAAAATTCCATATGCTAAATATGTATTCTTATATCTTAAGAAGTGTTGTTCACATGAATGTGTTATGCGGATGAAAAATAATACAGTCACCGATGATAGTGCACCGAATGATGTGATAAAATTTTAATCGTTAATTAATTTTAACTTAATATTAATCAATAATTAGGATTTTATCACGTCATTCAGTATACTACTATCGGTGACGATAACATTACTCTATACCGAATTGATATGCTAACATCCTCTCCATCAATCAAAACTCAATAGACATTTTCACCAGGCACTTGCTATCTATCCTTAAACTGATTCAAGAGGATATTTTGTAAAGACACCTATCTCAACTTCGTTAAATTTAAGGATAGATATGAAAGTTCTGAACAAATCACGATGGTGGAAGATCTTCACTAAATCCGAAAAACTTACAAAAGCGCTCATGACATTGAGTTGAAAAGAGTATAAATAGGCGGCCTTGTCATTCTTTTAAAACACTTTGATTTTATAATCTCGGGTGATTGCTTTCTTTGTATGTTTCAGTAATGATCAAAGAGAAATTCATTAATATAACTGCAGTGGATGTAAGACTTGCTTATAGCATCCGAATCACTTTAAAAATCTCTCTTATCAATTTTTTATTTACGTTTATTCAAGCACCTATTATCACTTAACCATAAACACTCACCATAATCAACCCATGTGTAAACTTATGACAGTTTGCATATGCGTATTTCGTTGGTGTCAATATCACGCACCACTGGTATGTTAAAAATACTAAAAAACAAAAGATTTAGATATTTTAATATATTTGATGTACAAAAAGAAAAAGAAAAAGAAAAAGAAAACATAATTTACAATACATCAAAATGGTAAATTGACTTTGTTTATAATTAATAAGAATTGATATATTTTTATATGCATTAAATCATTAATTAAAATTGCATAGGCACTTGTATTTTATCAAATGATAAGCTTGAAACAAGCCGTTATGTGGGGCTGGGCTGGGCTGGGCTGAGCCCGTTTGATATGGTCCAACATCACAACCCAGACAATACAGAGTCTGTTTCAAAGTACAGTCTCGCGATCAAATCAAACGGTAAAGTAAAAACCCTACCCAAGAAACTGCTGTCTCTTCCATTTCTCAATTCCTGAATAATCTGAAACATTATTTTCAAGAAATGGGTATGGAGAAAGATAAAGAGAAAGATAAAGAAAAAGAGAAAGATGAAGAACAAGAAGGCATGTCCGTTCACTCTCCTTGCAAAGCTCCTCCTTCCTCTGCTTCTTCTCTCCCCAAGGTCTCTCTCTTTCTATCTCCGTTATTCCCTTCTTTTATAAATGACCAATTTTTTTTATTTTTTTTGTTGGATATTTTATTAGAAAAATAAATCACCTAGAAATAATATTGCACGTCTAACCATTTTTTCATCCAAATACCTTCTTTAGCCCTACTTAGTAGGGCATGCTTGACGCATTCCATGAATTGACTTCCGACCTGTGTCCTTATCGAATGTCTGCCGATTGTTATTTCGGGGGCTGTTTTAGTCCAAATGCTTCAAATTTGATTAGATATGAAAAAAAATATTAAGCAGGTTTATCATTGTATTATTTTTTTCTCATTTCTCAAGTTATTGAGTTTAATAAATTGTCCTAATATGTTATTTTAATGATTAATTAGGAGCAATCACAGGTTGAATTGGAGCTTAGACTGTTGGAAGCTCTTGAAATTTACCCTCCAGTCAAGCTTCGAGGCAGGTTCACTGATAATTTAAAGTAAAACATGCTTTTGTTTTTCTTATGGGTTTAACACTTTCACTTTTGTTAGCTTGGTTTTGAAATGAAATAGAAAAATGGGTTTAGTATAAAAGGAAGATGCTAGATGGCTTCATTTTGTTTTGAATTCGAAGTGTTTTGTGTTTGACATGTTGCTTAACTCATTGAAACTGTATAGTTTTGGTAGGATTCTCTTAAAATCATTACCTTCTCTAAATATGTAACATTTAGTGATGTCCTTTTATTATCTGCCCTGAGGAAAAAAAAAAAAAAATATATATATATATATATATATGTGCACACAGGAATAACTGATTAGGCAAATGAATGCTTGTCTTGTCTATAAGTGGAACATGCTATTTAATTACTTCCTTTTCAGCATTTTAAACTAATGAGATAACTAATAAGAGCACTCATTAACAACTCTAAAGAACCTTATTTGTATTGGGCTTGGCTGAAAATTTCAAGTCTTTTTATTTCATAGATTTGAATACAAGTTGCCTCTTTAAAACTTGATAAAGTAATAAATTGTAATGTGAGATCCCCTGTCATGGTAAAGGGAACTATTATCAGCATTAAAGGAAGGTTACACCTTGCAGTTGATGCTCAGGTCATTAGACAATTAAGAAAAAACTTCTATTTTTGATCTTGAGTTATCTATCTGTCTGTAAAAGATAACTTTCCCAAGAAATTTTTATCAAGCAGGTATGCATCGCCACTTTGTCCTTTATGGTCTAATGGAATTCCTGCGAAGGAGGTAGTTGTCTTCATGTTTGTGTTTCCTTTCTTAATTGCTAGGTTTTAGTGCTAATATTCTAGTAAATCTTTAGTTTCCCTTACTTTTTACATTTTGCTAACTCGTTATCCCAGGTTTGACCGCCACTTTTCCCCTGATGAGGTTTTGCAGTTGATGGATCGATTCTACAACTTAGAAATGCTGGTATATATTTAACTTTTGTAATGTGTTTGCTTCTTTTCCTGGTACTGGAATAAAAATTATATGATGGAAAGACTATGAATTCATTTCCATATGCATTTTAAGGGATAGTTGAATTTCTAAGAAGAAAGATCCTTTTGTTGTTTTAGTTGCCTAACAAATTTAGTTTCTGCTATATCCATTCATTGAATTCCAAATGTTCAATTCCATATTGTGAACAAGGGTTTCTTTGTCATAATTAGTGTAGGGGGGCAAAAAGCTAAAGTTTTGGTGTAAGTTTGTGCATACACTTTATTTTTATTAAATCAGTTACATATTCAAAAATACACTCCAACACATTAAAGGATTTGGATATATATATATGGAAGAAAATTAAAGTTTTGGTGTATGTATGCTTGCTGATCTTGATTATCTTTCTGTATTCAGAAACCAGATGATGAAGAGATGGAAATACTGAATCATGAGGAAGATTTTAACTTGCCGCAAAGTTATTTTGACAAGGAAGAATAGTGACAGACAATTTTTGGTGTACATATATATGCTGTTAGTGCAACCTATCTTAGCTGTTGGGTTCTTATCTTGCTCATGGTTTTTGGTCAGTATTAAAGAATGTTGTAGTCAACAAGGTCTGAGCTTTAGATGAGATCAGTATTGCTTCAGAATCGATGTGATTCTTTTTGGTTGTTGCTCTTGCAGGCATTCCCCCTTATTGATAAAATAAAATTATTGATGCAAGTAGATAACATCGATGCGGGTTTGAAAACTTTTTATTTTTAGTCTCTCTTGGTGGTTTCAAGAATTCAGATTACGACATATAGCAGCTTATATCAAGGGATTCAAGTCTAGACATTATCAAGATAATGATTCATCTATTCAACACTTGAGGAGTGTGAATACTCCCTAATTTTTCACTCATCTTGAAATGTATAAAGAAGGTAAAAGAAAAGAGAGAAGGAATACACTTTTTTTTTCTTTTGGTCTCTACTCTCTAGTATATGTCTTAAGAGAATGACAGGGTAAGAGAGTGAAAAAGATTTTTAACATTTCTGTCAACACTTTGAAATTCCCTGGTTGAATAATCCTTTGGGTAATTCTGGTTGTGCAAGACTGCAAGTATCTTCTATGATGTGTTTGAACTCTACAAATAAATCCATTGAAACTTTCAAACTGGGGATCATAACAATTCCCTCCCTGAGGTTTTCTCTAAGTCACCTTTAGTCTTATAGATTTTTTTTTAGAAACTTTTTGGTCCCTGACATAGTGACATTAACAATTTGGTTTTAAGGTTTGCTAATGTTACTATGTTAGGGATCAAACCGTCACTAACAGTCTAACAGGGACTAAGGTGTTACTAAAAATTTGTAAAAGACGAAAGGTATTCAGGCTCCGTTTGGTTCATTATTCTGATAGTTTTTAGAATAATCTTTTAAAAAAAAAGTTAAATTAGGTGGGTATTACGATGTAAGATTTGAAAATTAACAAAAATATCCTCTATGCTTATTTATTTACTAAACACTCCTATAATAAAATATTAAAAGTTAATAAAAATATTCTTAATTCATCCATTAAATACGGATAACCAGTCACCGTCGAAGGGTGGCTAAAGTGTTTTTGTAATTTCTAAAAGAAATATTTAAAGGTGTTTAATTAAATTAATAAATTTAGAAAGTTTAAAAGAAATTAAAAAATATAAAATAATATATTTAGAAATAATGACATTTTACTGTTTAACTTTTTTTGAGAAAAGAGAAACAAACAAGCCTTAAACTCTGATAGAAGGGTATATAAGACAAGGGCTTGTAATAAATGTTAAAAATTGACAATTTCGGAATGTTTGTTTTCACCTGCAATGAATATTTTATGTATTGAGATATTCTACTTTAATTGTAGCAAATAATTTGCAAAATTAAAATATTTTTGTTATATTTTATCAAATTCATGATTTGTAATACAAATCATAAAGATATATTATACTTAACATTGACAACAATAGTTATATAACAATATCAATTTCTAAATATTTAAAATTTGTAAAAATAAACTAGTACTTACAATCAACACTAAAAAATTATAAATAAAACATCATAATTTTTTTTTTTTTTTTATCTTATTCATCAAGTATTAAACCGTTATCAAAAAAGCTATCAAGTATCAAGCACCACGGCACCACCTTAGTTTCTTCTCAAGTAAATTTCTGAACTCTGAATAAGCAAAAAAATTATTAAAGCGGGATATCTCACTAGATGAAGATCATTACACTTGCGTTAATAATTTGGTTTGAAAGATTTCTACAAGCTTTAAAATTGTGGTCACATGTTCATTAAATGGATTAGCATCAACTAAAAGCTTTTAAAGATTGATTAAATGGATGTTTCACATGCTTTCGAATGTCTTCCAGCACCAGCAGCAAGGCAAGAACAAATAGTGTTACAAAAGCCAGCGCAGAGAAATCGTAATACTATGTGAATTGAAATTTAAAAGAAAAAAATAAAAATCCAACATTTTTGACAAGTTTATAGACGACAACCTTAAAACAAAAGGAAAGAAGGAAAATAACTTAAAAGAAAAGAGAAAAGGGCAGAACAAGTAATCAACTTATAATAATCTGACTTAGCTAAGACTCAAAATGATAAGTAGGCCTCATAAATGGCTAAATTTTTCTGTGCAGTCCACTTCTGAGAAAAAGCTGAAACCGAGCGGCTTCCGCAAAGCTGTTAAAATTCCAGTTGCCGAGTGTAGCTCTCAGCTAACCCATCAATGCTGCAAAACAGATTACCTGTTAAGTGGCAGCAAAGGCAAAAGAATTGGCTACTTTAGTGAAAAGAATCGTATAAATTCTTACCTCAGCTTCTGCTGCGGCAGCAGGCTTGGATTCTTCGGCTTTGAAGTTATCTTCACCTGCATATATCCATTTTATGTCTGAGACAGAGCTTTAAGAGGACGTTTCAATTCATGCACATTGGTTGAAACTAACCAGACATATTCTAGTTTTTACCAAACTCAACGAGACATAACCCGGATTTACTACTAAGATACAATTAATTGAAACCAACCAACATAAGGAAAATCGGTCCCTATAAATGTGTGTGTGTAAGTTTTATGACCTTTTTTACTCAAACCTCAATGGAGTAAATTTTGAGCTACACGTCATGTAAAATGGAGATGTTTGGTTCCTATATCAACGGTGTACTACTTGCAAACTCACTTAAGATTCACTATCATTCTGGGGTCTTAAAAATCAAATCCAGATCTTCCTTAGCTATACAATCCCACTAAATCTAAGCTTTGAACTTCAATCTACAACAAATACAGTACCTCCATCTTCAGGTAAATCGGATGTCCAGAGAGTAAGGTTGTCCCTCAACAGCTGCATAATCAGGGTGCTGTCCTTGTATGATTCTTCACTTAAGGTGTCCAACTCTGCAATTGCCTCGTCAAAGGCTTGTTTTGCCAAATGGCAGGCTCTGCAAGTTTTGAGAAAAAAAAAGTTTTAAAAGGTAATCATATGATCAAGCAAAACCAGACCAAAAAAGAACTCAGTGACTTTAAGTTTAATACCTCTCAGGAGAGTTCATTATCTCATAGTAGAATACAGAGAAGTTAAGAGCAAGGCCAAGACGGATTGGGTGAGTTGAAGGAAGATCTTTGTTTGCGGTTGCAGAAGCAGCCTATAAGTGGAAAAAACAATAAGAGGAAACATCATTTTTTGAAATACCAAAGTAAAGAATGCTAGACGAATATGTTTTAATTTTGCACTTTTTCTGTATAAGGTAGATGTTAAATGGACATGCCTCATAGCCCTTCAAAGACTGCTCAGCCGACTCTTTTCTTTCCTGGTCAGTCTTGAACTCAGCGAGGTACCGGTAGTAATCACCTTTCCTGATTCGAGCGTGATCATAAATTACAGTTATAAGAATATGTGAAATTATTTACACCTGAGAATAATTCTACGAACACATGTATAAACAAAGTTAGCATACATAAAAGCAGAAGACGTAATAATGCCAGAGCACAGACAGATAATTCATATCTCTTCAATAGGCTAGAATCGTTATTAAAGTGCCTGCAACTTACATGTCTACCACATGTGCAAAAGGCAGGAAAAAGTTACTGTCATACAAACAAAAGTATTTTCTTTCTTGATATCTTTTTGAATATATTCAAAACAGTATGAGATAAGATAAAATAACAAATTTGCTATATGAAACCGTAAATGATAAAGACAGTTATAGTAATTACTTTCTGATGAAACAAATATATCCTAAGGGCAAGATGGGCAAGATTACTCACATCTTGTAATAGAAAACTGTGGCTTCTCCAGAGGTGGAAGAAGGGGTGAGGTGGGTGTCTATGATACTCAAAATATCACCACAAATCTTGGAGAGCTCCTCCTCTACCTTTTGGCGGTAACCCTTGATCATTTTCACATTGTTCTCATTTCCCTTGGACTCTTCTTTCTGCTCTATTGATGACATAATGCGCCATGAAGCTCTTCGCGCACCAATAACATTTTTGTACCCCACAGAAAGGAGATTCCTCTCCTCCACAGTCAGCTCAACACCAAGTTTCGCAACTTTTTTCATACTCTCAACCATTTCTGCACCATTTTCAGAGATGGTTATCAATCCTAATCATCTTCAGAAACATAATTCTTACGCCATCTACTCCAAAGACATTACATGACAATAGATTCACAACAATTCGATCAAACAGATGAAATAATCTCAACGATCATTAACAAACAAAATTGAGTATCAAAATTTATCACGAACAATACACATTGTCGATTAAAACCATTTTTCATTCAAGATAACTACATTAATAAATCAAATGAAGAATCTAAATCTATCAAGATGATTACATTAATTAAAACTATTAACAACCCTGCACATTGGCGATTTATACCATTTTTCATCCAAAATAAACATTTTAAACGTGGTAAAAAAAGAATGCAATTACAAAACCTCAATCTGAAATTGAAAGCTACGAATGCATGAAAATGAAACCTTCATATCTTTCGGCCTGTTCGGCGAGCTTGGCAATGTAAACATGAGACTCTCTCTCCTTCTCTGTCGTCGACATTGTGGTTACGCGAGAGCGATCACAGACAAAAAATAAAAATGCAGAAAGAAAGAAATAATAAAAAAAGAGTTTGAAACTGGAACGGAGAACTGCTAAAAGATTAGTTAAAGGGTAAGGAGTTGGGGATTATAAATAGGGAGGGTGTTAAAGATCGAGCAAGTTGGGGGAAGGAAGACCGGATCTTGACCGTTGGATGGGGAAGGTTTGTTTAAAAGAGAGAGCGCGCTATCCGGTGATTTTGTGAATGTTAGGGATCAAACCGTACTAACAGTCTAATAGGGACTAAAGCGTGACTAAAAATATGTAAAAGGCAAAAGGTACTAAACTCTGATAGAAGGGTATATACGACAAAGGTTTGTAATAAATGTTAAAAATGACAATTTCGGAATGTTTGTTTTCACCTGCAACGGCTATTTCATATATTAAGGCTTCGTTTGGTTCAGATTGGGAATACTACTCTGGGATTCCCGAAAAAGTTAAACGTAAAATACCCAAAATCTCTCATTTTTGAAAATAAATTTTCAATACTATTTAATTTTTTTAAACCCTCTAAATTTGTTTAATTTAATTAAATACCCCTAAATATTTTTTTTAAATTACAAAACACACCCAACAATCCACATTTACCAGATTCCGGCCACCACTACCGGAAAATGGTCGGAATCTGGTAGGATGGCGCACTACCTGCTAATCTGGCCGGTAGTGCACCGATCTAGCCTTTTCCGGCCAGATCCACCGTGGATCTGCGGAAAATGCCAATCTAAGGTCAAAGATCTGGCCGTTGACGGCCAGATCTTTGGCCGTAACACTCGGTCACGACGGCCAACAAACGATCGTCGTGACCATCAACGACGACCGTTTGTTGGCCATCGTTGAGCAAATACGGCTTGATTTGGCCGTTGACGGCCAGATCTGACCGTAGATCTGGCCTTTTCCGGAGCGACGCATGACCGGCAAGATCCAATGGTCATGCGCCATAAGACGACTCCGGCCACCTCCGATGGTGGTCGCCGACTGGGGGTGTTTGAGGGTGGGTTAGGGGTTATTTTTGTTAACTTTTAATGTTTATTATAGGGGGTATTTTGTAAAAAAAAACATAAAGGGTATTTATTAATTTATAAATTCTACATCGTAATACGCCCAATTTAACTTTTTTCAAAAAACTTTTCCAAAACCCCCAAATTTTGAACCAACAGCAAGCCTAAGATATTTACTTTAATTGTAGCAAATAATTTGCAAAATTAAATATTTTGTTATTTTTATCAAATCATGATTTGTAATACAAATCATAAAATATATTATACTTAACATTGACACAATAGTTATATAACATATCAATTTCTAAATATTTAAAATTGTAAAAATAAACACTAATCTACAATCAACACTAAAATATATAAAATAAACATCATAATTTTTTTTTTTTTTTTATCTTATTCATCAAGTTTAAACCGTTTATCAGCTATCAAGCACCACACTTAGTTTCTTCTCAAGTAAATTTCTGAACTCTGATAAGCAAAAAATTATTAAGCGGGATATCTCACCAGATGAAGATCATCACTTGCGTTAATAATTTGGTTTGAAAGATTTCACAAGCTTTAAAATTGTGGTCACATGTTCATTAAATGGATTAGCATCAACTAAAAGCTTTAAGATTGATTAAATGGATGTTTCACATGCTTTCGAATGTCTTCCAGCCCAGCAGCAAGGCAAGAACAAATAGTGTTACAAAAGCCAGCGCAGAAAATCGTAATACTATGTGAATTGAATTTAAAGAAAAAAAATAAAAAACCAACATTTTGACAAGTTATAGACGACAACCTTAAAACAAAGGAAAGAAGGAAATAACTTAAAAGAAAGAGAAGGGCAGAACAAGTAATCAACTTAATAATCGACTTGCTAAGATCAAAATGATAAGTAGGCATTAAATGGCTAAATTTTTCTGTGCAATCCACTTCTGAGAAAAAGCTGAAACCGAGCGGCTTCGCAAAGCTGTTAAAATTCCAGTTGCGAGTGTAGCTCCCAGCTAACCCATCAATGCTGCAAAACAGATTACCTGTTAAGTGGCGCAAAGGCAAAGAATCGGCTACTCTAGAAAAGAATCGTTATAAACTGTGCAAGACTGCAAGTATCTTCTATGATGTGTTTGAACTCTACAAATAAACAGGGCTGTAAATGAGCTGAGTCGAGTCAAGTTTTTGACTTATCGAGCTTGGCCTGTTCACTATAGGATCGAGCTCAAGTTCGAGCTCGAGCCTGTCGAGTCAAAGAAAAGGGACTCGAACTCGAGCTCGATCGAGTTCGAGCCGACTCAACCGACTCGACTTCATCTTCATCATCTGCATCTTTATCTGCATCTCCATCATCTTCATCTTCATCTCATCTTCATCTTCATCTTCATCTTCATCTTCATCTTCGTCTTCATCTTTGTCTCCATCTCATCTTCATCTTGTAGAACATCATGATTTACGTTGCTTCCATCTCCATCTTCTTCATCTTCATCTTCGTCTTCGTCTTCTTCTTCAACACAATCTTATTTTGATTTTGATTTTTGATTATGAATATTTGCAAGAACAAATTTAGGGTTTAGGGTTTGTCAATTTGGGAAATCTGATTTGGGGGTTTAATTTTGTGTTTTATAACTAATTACATTGGGGGGTTAAATGTCGTTTTTACAAATTTTTAAAACTAAAGAATAAAGATAACACTTCAATCCCCATAGTTTATAAAATATAACAAATAGAAACCTGCTTAGCCGAGCCACATCAGGCTCGCGAGCCTACGAGCCGAGCCTCCCTATGTTCAAACTCGGCTCATTTTATATAGCAAGCTCGAGCCGAGTTGACTCGACTAATCACAAGTTGAGTCATAAACGAGCTTTAGACGAGCCGAGCGACAACCCTACAAATAAATCTATTGAAACTTTCAAATCGGGGATGATAACAATTTCCTCCCTGAGGTTTTCTCTAACTACCTTTAGTCTTATAGGTTTTTTATAGAAACTTTTTGGTCCCTGACATAGTGACATTAACATGTTGGGTGTTAAGGTTTGCAATAATGTTAGGATCAAAACCGTCATCAACAGTCTACTAGGGACTAAAGCGTGACTAACAAATATGTAAAGGCCAAAATGGTATTAAACTCTGATAGAAGGGTATATACGACAAAGGTTGTAATAAATGTTAAAAATGACAATTTCGGAATGTTGTGTTTTCAACTGCAACGGCTATTATCAATATAGGCTGCGTTGGTTCAAGATTGGGGAATACTATCTTGGTATTCCCGGAAAAAGTTAACAGTAAAATACCCAAAAATTCTCATTTTTGAATAATTACTTTTCAATAATATTAATTTTTTTTAAACCCTCTAAATTTGTTATTTAATTAATACCCCTAAATATTTTTTTTTAAATTACAAAAAACACCCAACAATCACATTTACCAAGATCCGGCACCAACTACCGGAAAATGGTCGGAACTTGGTTAGGATGGCGCAACACCTGCTGAATCTAGCCGGGTAGTGCACCGATCTAGCCTTTTCGGCAGATCACCGGGGATCTGGTGGAAAATGCAAATCTAAGGTCCAAGATCTGGCCGTTGACGGCCAGATCTTGGCCGTAACACTCGTACACGCGGGCAACAAGCCCACACGCTCGTCTGTGCCTCAAACGTCCGACCGTTGATTGGCCACGTTGAGAGCAAATACGGCTAGATCCTGGCTGTTGACGGCCAGATTGAAGTAGAATCGGCCTTTTCGGAGCGAGCAGACGGCCACGATCCCCTTGGTCATGCGCCATAAGGACGATCTATCCGGCACCTCCGGAGGTGGTCGCTCTGTACTGGTGCGTTGTCGGTCGTCTATTGCGGGCCGGCCGTCTACGGGCTTTTTGTGTAACGTTCCCCCTTTAAGTTTTTTCTTATAGGGGGTATTTTGTCAAAAACCACTAAGGGTATTTTCTCCGAATTTTATACCACCCTATATGAAGAATATGTAACCGGACCATTGAACTTGTTCAAAAACCCCCCCTCCGTCAAAACACCACATTTTGAACCCACGATCCCCCCCCTTCGCCCCAGCCAATTCTGCCTCCAAGTAGTCCCCCGACTATCGTGGCCACTGCCAATTTTGTAGCACCGTCTGGTTTTTTCTCCCAAATAATGTTGGCTCCTAAAATTAAAAATTTTGTTATATATCAAATTCATGATTTGTAAATATAACATTATAAACATAGATTTATACTTCATACTCCATCCGAACAATCAATCAGGAGTTTTGGGATATACAATATGCAATTTTCATTACTAATATGTCAGTCATCAGTAACTATTTACACACTCTATACCATATTCTCCATCTTCCCAATATCCTCCCCACCCTTTACACCTTATTTTTTTTCTAATTAAAATTTTTTATGCCCCCCTAACACTTCTCTCTGTCTTGTTCTTTTTTTTCATCAACTTGCCTTTCCACACTTGTGACTTTCTGACACTTCTCTTTCGATATTTTATTGGTTTTTGTCCTCTCGTTATCTTATTTTTATGAGGTCTTACTTGGCCACATCTCCCCGACACCACAATCCCACTTTTGTTTCAAGTTCCTTCTTTTTTCTTTTTATCTTCAGGGATCTATCCTTGTAAATCCGTTCCCCCCCCTTCCCCAGTATCATAATGCAAAAAAAGTACACTTAATACCGCAAAGATTTCTTCGAAAGGATAAATTCCTACATGATAGAGGATATAAGCCAAAAATTATTAAAGCGGGATATCACCCAGATGAAGATCATTCACTTGCGTTAATAATTTGGTTTGAAAGATTTACAAGCTTTAAAATTGTGGTCACATGTTCATTAAATGGATTAGCATCAACTAAAAGCTTTTAAAGATTGATAAATGGATGTTTCACATGCTTCGAATGTCTTCCAGCACCAGCAGCAAGGCAAGAACAAATAGTGTTACAAAAGCAGCGCGAGAAATCGTAATACTATGTGAATTGAAATTAAAAGAAAAAAATAAAAATCCAACATTTTTGACAAGTTTATAGACGACAACCTTAAAACAAAAGGAAAGAAGGAAATAACTTAAAAG